ACTGGTAGATTCAGAATTTGAACCCATGTTGGTTTTATTCAAAATCCATACTCTTAACCACTATGTAAATAACATTACATAAAATTAAATAAATAAAAAGTCTAAAAGGAAATAGACCAAACTTTTAACAATCATTTTCTTTAGAAGCTAATGACTTGAATGCAGCTGACAGACACCACAAGGGTTGGGTTCCTAAAGAAGTGTAAAACAGGGTTTGTGGGATAGAGTAGACAACCAAAACTTGTAATGAGAGAGGTTTCAGAGGCTGTATAAAATTTAGTCATGCTTCAGGATAGGGCCATGTGTATGTTTATGGAGTGAAGTAGTAGTCAAGGTCATTGGACTAAAGTAGGGCAATAAAACAAGCATTCATTCTAGTATTTATGAGTCATTCAAGCATATATATACGTTGGAGTTTGCAGAAACAATGGTGAACAAGATGAATAGGATTCTTACGTTTGTGGAACTTACAATAGGAGAAGTAGGCCGAGGCCAGATCATGCAAGGCCTTGTAGCCATGTTAAGAAAGAAAAGGTTTATTTGGATTTTGTTCTAAACGTGCTGAGAAACCATTGGTGGGTTGTAAGCAGGAGAATGACTTGATCTGTTTTCTGTTTTGAAAGGACCATTCTGGCTGTTATGTTGAGGTTGTATCTTGGGAATAAGAACAGAAAATAAGGTAAGCACTTAGGAAGATATTGAAGTAGTTCAGGAAAGAGTTGGTAGAAGCCTGGACAAAGGTTCTAGCAATGGAGATAGATATATTTCGAAGATAGAGCTGAGAGTGCCTGATGGTGGATCTGATGTGGGGGGCAGGGAGAAGTGAGGGATTAAGGGTAACTGCTAAGTTTCTGTGTTGAACAAAGGGATGGATGGTGGTGTCATTTATGGCGATGAGAACTATTGGGGTGGAAGGAACACAGTCTGACAGATACTGATTTCATATTCGATATGTTGAGTATAAGGAATTTGTGTATGAGTTTAGTAGGCAAGTAGGCTCTATTGTTATAATGCTCAGAATGGGCTGGAGTCCTCCGTTTGGGAGTCCTCAATGCAAAGACAGTAACTGGAGTCATGAGCGAAGGTAAGATTGTCTAGGTAGAGGAGAGAATAGAGAGCAAGAAAAGAATTGAAGGAAGAAAAGAGTTGGACCTCCAGCAGAACTGAGAACAACAGTTTCCTAAGGGGTCGGTGTACAGATGCTGTGCTGAGAAAGGCCACTCATGACTTCCTGCTCCCTTGAATCCCATGAATATATTTTAGTCATAATCTTTCTGAATCCACTGCTACATTGTGATACTACTGTCCACTCCTTCCAGTGAAACTAGACTCCCCAGGTTTTCCATTCTCTCCTTCTAAGTAAGTTTCTTTGCCCTTTCCCAGACACACGAAACTTTATTGTTCCCCAGGAAGACTAAAGAATTACACTCTGTGTTGAATTATTAAGAACAACTTCTAGAACTGGGAAGCTGCTTACTGATTTTGGAGGCTGTTGGTTTCAGAACTTGATGGAGGTGAGGGAGAAATCCGGACAGTTATCTCAAGAAAAGGAATTCCAGATACAGTAAAGAGCAAGTACAAAGGCCCTGAGGTGTGAATGTGCTTGGTGCATTTGAAGAACATTTCAACATCTCCCCAAAGAGTCAGATTCTGGTTACTTTTAAGGCAGAGCCAGCATAAGCAGATACATCCAACGTGGACTATGAAAAGAGGAGTCAAGGACAACTCCAAGGTTTTCCGCAAAAGTACACAGGACAAAATTGCCATTTACTGAGGGAGGAAAGGTTATGGGAAGAACAAATTTGGGGAGGAAAATTAGGAGCTTGGTTTGGAACATGTTAGATTTCTGGTGCCTAACAGACTTTCAAATGGAGATACTGGGCAGGCAGTTGGTTGTAAAGGTCTGGAATCCATGGGACAGAGACAAGCTGGTGGTCTACATTCAGAATTCATTGACTTACATGTGGTATATACAGCCGTGGGACTGAATAAAGCCACCAAAGAAATTCACTGAAGAAAAGATGATCAGGCCCTGGGGATTTTAGGGACAATTTTAAGGAGAATGGAATGATAGACTATATTAAGTGCTGTCACATGGGTTGTTTTCCCTTCTACCTTCCTTCCTTCCTCCCTCCTTCACTCATGACTATAAAAATGATAAAGCTGTGTGAATTCAGCCTTCCTGTGCCCAGGCTCAAGCATCAAACATCTTTCCTTTTTTTCCTCTCCCCTAAATATATACTGTAAACCCAAGGCACTGTTCTAATCTGAGCCCCACCCTCCAAGGGATCTTGACAAAAAAAAGCACCCCATACAGTAGGGCCAGAAAAAGCTAAGGCAATCTAGCCTGGGGGAACAGAACACTTTTCAGGGATGACAGTAGTTGCGATCAGCTCCCTGGTGTCCTAATTAAGCTCCCTGACTAAAAATTGCAGTCATTCAACTTTAGGCTTGATAGAACCAACTCTTCCAAAAGTGGTAAGGGATTGTCAGGCAGTAGTGAGGGCTTTGTGACTTTCAACGTGATGATTATATCTTTCAAAAATTACATTCTTGTTCTCGCTTTGAGATGCCGGTGAACACTGCTTGTGTAGTATGTGTCCTACCTAATTGACACCCTCCAGTGGAAATAGCTACAACACACACTTGAAATCTCACAGTCACATAATCAACCATTTTACTAAATACAAGCAAATTCTCATTCACATACAGCTAAAGAAAACATTTTTCCACATTGCATTACAATGCACAACAAAGTGAGGAAAAGTTTACAGTTTTTTCTGGAACAGGAGACAGTCTAATCCAGCATGCAGTGGTGGTCTTTGTTACAAGTTAGTTGGTCTTTTCTTTGACCTATGTAGTAAAATAGCTTCTAAAGCTTTATCCATAGTATTGTATTAACACCTGATTTTTTTTCACACTTATTCTCTAAAACCCACTTATTGCAGTGACAACAGCACTGAATTCTACTAAAATGATTTTTAAAATTTCTAGAACTTGTTTAAGCAATTAAGCTCAGCCACTTTTGCTGGATCCTGTGCTGAGTATCTTTAAACCTGCCTTAAAAAATGCAAGGAGTGAGAACAATATACATATAATGTATTTTAGACAAGAAAACTGTAGAGAAGTTTTGTTTCTATCCTTTTTTTTTTTTTTTTGGAACTGACAGAATCCACTGGATAATCTTGCCTTTGGAATCTTCTTACAGTAGTTTATGAAACTGCATTAATCCCACTGACCCTCTTCTATTTGCTTTCTGAAACCACGATCCGCCCAAGCCAGGTCAGGGGAAGTGAATGCAGAGACGATGGTTGGTTCACTTGTAGTTGATGCTGCAGGTTGGTCCAAGGTGGTTTGTTTCCATAATTTTTGTTATTGGGCTGCTTCGTTCTGGCTGAAGTAATTCCCAGATGTTCAGATTCAGTCACGTTCATACTGAAGTTCGACATTGTGTGTCAAAGCAATTTACCATTGGCAGGCTTTCCTATCACAATGGATGTGAGAAACGTGACTATTCTGAATTGTTTTCTTACTGTGAAAAGTATGGCTTTTGCCTAGCTCAACTAGCTACAATCCAAAGAATAATTTAAAGCAGGACCTCTCTTCAAGAAGATCATGGAAGCTTAAGCCAACCGTTTCAGTTTCCTGATGCATTAGATGTCTATTCACCTGAGAAGTAAGAGCTGACTCTCTAGGATAGACAAGGACCCAGTGTAGGTATATGGCAAACAGGCGGCTAAGGTCATTGTGAGGTGAGTATTTTATCCCCATCCCACTCCCCATTGCTGTATTTGGTTCCTTGCAGTAATATGTCCACTGTGTTTTAGTGATAAGAGCATTTGGAGCCCACACAGTTTTGATGTGTTTCGAGTGTGCAATTAGTCTCTCATTTAAAGCCCTCTTGTCAGTGAGACCTGAACTGGCTTTACGTTTTGTTCCGTCCCCAGGTTCCCTCAGGATTGTAGCTGAGTCGTAAGCAATAAGGAAACATACCCTAACATGTAGAGAACATTTATTTACAGTCATATCTCTTCCAAAGTAAACAAATTAGTAACAGTTCGTTCATCTGACAGCAGGAACAAGCTGATGCAGTGGGACGGGAACTATGAGTCAGGAGACCTTCCCCTTAGCCAAGTGAATCTCCTGCTTCTTAGTTTACTCTTGTAAAATAGGGAAGAAAACCTCACAGGCCTGTTGGGATGATCAGTAAGTAATTCAAGGGACTGTGAGGTGTGTGTCTCAGTACAGGGTTGATTAGCGAACGTTTGCCTCAGGGCTCCTTTCACAGGCGGTCCCTGTACACAGCTGCTCGGCCCCTGGAGAGGTGGGTGGGTGAACTCCAGGCCTGGGACGATGGGGACAGAGGGTATGGCATGGATTACAGTGTTTCTTTCTTCTACTTACATGGTCATCTATTCCATCACACGGGGGTGCGCTTTCTGGAATGTGGTAACAACAGTATGTATAACGGCCTCCCTTCTCAGAGCCACACTGATTTTACTAGAACAACGGGCCTTGAAAGGGTCTTAGTGAATAGCTGCTCTGTGCCCCTTGTTCTATAGACGAGCTGTTTAGAAGCCAATTGGTACCTTCTAGCCAAACCCAGCGCAAACACTTGGTGTAGGGTGTTCTCACCGATTAAGTTGATCTCAAAGTCGTTTTAGTTCTAATTGTTTCCAATGGGATCCTTTCCCCCCTTTACATATTTCTTTATGTTTGTGACCTATGAATGAGCGGAAACACCAAGAAATAGTTATGCTGTCTGAGGGTGTATTTTTCTGGAAAAATTTCCCCAGACCTCAGCCCCTCGACACGCAGTCCGCAAAGGGCACATGGAGCAGCCCCTCAGTCACATCCACCCACCCATGGCCAGTCAGATGCCCCTTGAGGAGGAGGCTCACTTGGTATGTAACATGGAGGTTGAGTCCATTCAGTCACCAGGGATTCTCTTCGTTGTGATCGCTTTGCAGTTCAGGTGGGAGAGCACATTTCGGGACCCTGACAGCTGACTAGCACAGGCATCTCCGCTCTGATTTGACAACCTCTTCTGAAGAGTGAACCACGTTTGGTACAAATCCACTCTTCACCCCTTCCCATCCCTCCTGGATTGTAATATCCCCCCGTTTAACCAGCTCATATATGTCTCTTGTCAGGTCTGTGAAGGCCTTCTCCACGTTAATGGCGTCTCGGGCTGACGTCTCAATGTACTTCATGCCGTATGCAGCAGCCAGTTTCTCTGCCTCGTGGCGAGTCACTTGCCTCTGTGTATCCAGGTCACACTTGTGACCTACCAGGACAAATACGATTTGGTAGGGCTGAACGTGTACTTTGGTCTCTTCTAACCACTCATGCACATTCTGGAAGGACCTGCGGTTGGTAATGTCAAATAAGAGAAGACCACCTACAGAGTTCCTGTAGTAGGCGCGAGTGATGGATCTAAAACACAAGAAAGAAGTAAAGAATAAAGGCCGTGCCCAAACCCCTGTACTTCAGTGAACTCACACAGTGCACTCTGCTGTGTCCGCTCACTGACACAGTCCTTTAGTAAGAATGATCTTTTTTTTTTTTAAAGAATGGAATGCGAATGCCATTCTGTAATTAATAACCCGTGAATTTTCAGTTGGGCAAAACTAAGAGATGACATCTTCCAGAAATGAACGCTCATGGCCTTCCAGGCATTTTCTCTCGATTCAGGTAGAACTACAGCTTACTGTCCCACCCTGGCAACACAGGATACCGAAGTCACAGGTTATTATGAAGAAAAATGAAATAATGAATGTTAAAGTGTCTTCAGAACTGGAGAGTTCATGATAAATTCTAGTAGTTGAAACAGAATTTAAAAAGATTAGAAATGAATTTATGGTAGTTGACAGAAAATGTTTATTAGTATATATAGCTATATTGCAATATACTCCATTTTCCCCCATGTATCACTTCTTATTTTACTCTAAGAGGGTCCTCCATCTCTTCTCTGAGGAGAAACGTGCTTTGTTTTTTATTTTCTAGGCCACGTGGAAAAGGGAAAAATCAGAATGGTCTGTGGTGGTGTTAGCAGAGTGACTGTCAGCCCCATTTCCTGACACACTTCAGAGAGGCTGAGTCAGGAGCTACCCCTGGGAAAAACTGCCTAAATAGCAAAAATTTCCCCTTAAACTGATAGAACTTATTTAAAGCAGTGTGCCAGGAGTATCTCTAAAACCTAAAGGTTTAGGTTCTAAAACATTTGCTGTACTTAAACAGAAGAAACCTCTAATATTTTAACTTCTTGATTTGAAGAGCACACATAAGTCACAGTACTTGGCTTAGAGCATATTAGAGCTTAGTGGAGGGGGTCGAACGATTTGCCTCTACCATCACTTGTTTTAGACTACTGTGCTTTTTGATCTACATCTATTTTTAGGTTTTCTGTCTCCTTGGATGAAAAAGTTAAACAATGAGGGACTCAACAGCTTAAGGCTTAGGACAAATGGCCCAGTGATAAGAGAACAAACATCGTCCAGGGAATTAAAGTCCAAGCTAGATGATAGTAAGAACGAACGTTACCAGTGACTTCAAGTCTCCAAAACCAGGCAAATCAGCCCTGGAGACTGGAAGCATTTCTAATTCTCTTATGTTTAAGGGTTCATGGAGAATGGCAGGTGTAATCAGAAAATTCAATGTGAACAAAGATTTTGATTTGTGAATAACTTGGTTCAGGAAAACAGTGAACAAGCTGTAGATCCCTGTCAAAACTCTTAAAGACATTATTATATTAGTGGTTTGTGAGTATTTAGAAAGGAACAAAGCCATTTCCAAACACAATATAAGACTATCTAAAAATTAAAATTCCCATTTATCAAAAAATTTTCTTGAAGTTCAAAGACAAATGACAAACCAGGAAAATATTTTACAACATACATGACAGAAAAGGGTAATAATCTATTAAAAAACTCTTTCAAGTCAATATCACCCAATAAATAATAAGCAATGGATATGAAAAGGCTGATCATAGAGAAAGAGATTTCTGTCAACATATAAAAAACCTTTCTTCACTTCTAATACAAGGAATGCAATCACGAATTCAGAGTTGATCCTGTGCAAGGGTATGTGCCACAGTGTTGTTTGTGGAAGTTGGGGGTGGGGTGGGTGGAGCCAAGTTTGTAGTAAACTCTTCTTTCTACTCTTCTTCAACTACCTAACCAGTATTTTCTATGCTCAATTAGTGTTCAGTAGATAACTGAATAAATAATGACAGACATATTTGAAAATGAATAAAGGCGATTGAGTCCTTTTGATCTAATTCCTGCTGCCATATGTGACATTAGCTCAACTTGTTCTCTCCAAGTTTTCTGTGTACGCTGCTCTGTCACTTGTCTTTACACATGCTGTTTCCTGTCCCTGGGCTTTTCCTGTCTTGGCTTGGGTAATCCTATCCATCAGGTCTCATCCTCTCCGGGCAGCCTTCTCTATGTTCAGACATATAATTACACATGATACATACTACAAGGGAAAACAAAGGGTTGTAGGAGAAAATTATACCTGTTCATTGATTACTCATTATATGCTTAGCGTTATAGTAGGGCGTGGGCATCTGAATATGAACCAGACACTTTTGTATAATTGCTGTTTATGTATTTCCTTCCACTACGCCAGCACAGAAGTTCTAAAAGGGAAGGGCTCTTGTCTGTTTTGTTTACAAGGCATCCTCTTGTGTGTTTCCTCAGGCTGTTTCCCCAGAAACAAGCCCAGTGCCTGGCATGCAGTGGATGATTTCCGAATGTGTGCTGGTTGCAAGAAGGAATCAATCATCTGTATCTATTTCATATAATTACGATTATCTCTATATCTCTATATCTGTATCTATGTCTATAAGTAGCTATCTGTGTATATCATCTATGCCTGTCGGTTTTGTAAAGATGACCTGGAAACAGTTTTGAAAGTAATGTAGCATAAGGACTGAGATTGATAAATTCCAGCTAGTTTATTAGCCACCAAGGGGCAGATCGGTGGAATTGTGGTGCAAGCAATACGTATTATTGACTGGCCCTCCCTGCCAGGGTGTTTCTTTCCCGGTACTGAACTCCCGGCTAGCTAAAGGTGGGCTTGAGCAGAAATCCCCAGACCCTTGGGATCGTCCCTACGGGGGCCGACACCAGGACCAGGAAGTCCTCTCTCTCCAAGGGTTGTGCAAAGCCTGTAGACCCTCCCACTGCTCGCGGCCCAGCTGCGCTCCCCACCTGAACCTCTCTTGACCCGCGGTATCCCAGATCTGGAGCTTGATGCGTTTTCCTGGCTCGATCTCCACCAGACGGGAGAAAAAATCCACCCCCACGGTGGGGTCCGAAACCTGGGCAAAGCGGCCCTCGGTGAAGCGGCGGATCAGACAGGACTTGCCCACCGTGGAATCCCCGATGACAATGAGCCGGAACTGGTATAGCCAGATGGCCTCCATGGCCGGGGCTCAGCAGGTCTCCTCGGCCCGGGCCGGCCGTGGGCGGCGAGAGGGGCGCCCAGCCGAGACCTCGGAGAGCGTGGCTTGGTCCGGATCTAGATCGGCCGCGAGCACATCGCTAGCCTGGGAGCCTGAGGCGAGGTAGGCCCCGGCGCGGGGAGAGCGAAGGAATGGATGCTGCGCTCGCAGAGGTGATGAAATGGCAGCAGCATCAGCACCACGCACTCTGACTCATCACTGACAACCGAGTTACTGTAATCCCGCGCGTAGACGCGACTGCCGGGGCTGCCACACTGTCTGTAAAAGGAGCGCACACAGAAACAGCCGCGGGGGGCGGGGGGGGGGTGACCCAGCGCCTTCCTTTCCTTTCTAATTTCTCCACCCACCGCCCCTTCTCAATTAATTTTTTTCTCTATCTCCAACTAGCAAAAGGGATACCTTTTCATTCAAACTAGTGAAACAATCCAAAAATGTACACAAAAAAGTAGATCCATCATTATTAAGATATTAACAGCTTGGGATATATTCTTTTACGTGTATTGCCAAGCAAATATATATACACATAAAAATTTATTGCCGTTTGGTGTCACAAAAATTGGATCAAATTGGACCATTACTTTAGTGTTTGCTTTTTGCAATTAATAAAGAATCATAAACATCCTCCATTTCCAACCCACTTTCCTTTTGCAATGGCAATGCTACAATAATGATTCTAACTATAGTCACACATTCGTTATTTCAGTGAGATAGAGTCTTTCAAAAGGGACGGGGAAGTCAAAGAGGATGAGCATTTTAAATGTAATGGATTTGGGCATGATACTTTGTAAAAAATATTTAGCGATATGAATTCTACTTAGCAATATGTGAAAAGGCGATTTCTTCACATTTTTTTTCAAGCGTCATGTTATATTCTTTCTGAATTCTTGCCACTCTGATGTAGTTAAATAAGGCGTTCATTAGTTTGTTTTACATTTTCCTGACTACTAATGAGGTCAATACCATTTCTCAAGTATTGACCATTTGCATTTCCTCTTCTGGGAATGACCTCTTCAAAACTTTTGTCTGTTCCTCTTCTTTTTTTTTTAATGTAATTCCTTATCATTTCGTTACACAATTAAAAAACGTGGGGCTCCTGTGTGGCTCAGTCAGTGAAACGTCTCCCTTTCGGCTCAGGTCATGATCCCATGATCCTGGGATGGAGCCCTGATCACAGCCCCTGCTTGGCATGGAGTCTTCTTCCTTTCCCTCTGCCTCTCCCCACTCTTGTGCTCTCTCTCAAATAAATAAATAAAATCTTCAAAAAACAGGTTTATTGATATATAATTCACATTCCATACTATTCACTCATCTGAAGTGCATAATTCAATGGTTTTTGGTATAGTCACGGACTTGTGCAACCATCACCATACTCAATCTTAAAATATTTTCATCATCCCCAAAACAGACCCCTACCTTTTGGCCCATCACCTCCTATCATCCTTTCCTCCTAGCCCTAGGCAACAACTAATCTACTTTCTGTCTCTATAGATTTCCTTATTCTGGACATTTCATATAAAGGGAATTATAAAATATGTGGCTTCTTCTTTTCACAGAGACATTTTCTGGCTTTATAACTGGCTTTTTTCACTTACCATAATGTTTTAAAAGTTCATTCACATTCGGTTTTATGACTGAGTAATATTCCACTGTGTGGATGTACCATTTTATTAATCCATTTATCTATGGATGGACATTTGGGTTGTTTCCACATTTGGGCCATTATAAATAATGCTGCTATGATCATTTTGTATACAAATATTTGTTTGAACACATGTTTTGAATTCTTTTAGCTTTAAATCTAGGAGTGGAGTTCCTGAGTTCAGTGGTGACTATATGTTAAATGCTTTGAGGAAATGCCAGACTGTTTTCCATAGAGACTGCAAAGTATGATGGCTCTTATTTCTCCGTATCTTCTCCAACACTCGTTGTCTTCTGACTTTTTAATTTTAGACATCCGAAGAGTGGGTGTGAAGCGGTATAGCTCATTGTGATTTTGATTTGCATTTCCCTGAAGACTAATGACAGTGTGTATATTTTTACATTCTTATTGACCATTTGTGTATCTTCCTTGAAGAAATGTAGATTCAGATCCTTTTCCCACTTTTAAATTGGGTTATTTGTCTTTTTATTGTTGAGTTGTAAGAGTTCTTTATATATATTCTAGGTACAGGTCCTTTATCACATACATGATTTGTAAATATCTCTCCCATTCTGTGTTCCCTTTTTGCACTTTCTTGAGGGTGCCCTTTGAAGCACAGAGTTTTAAATTTTGATGAAATAGAAATTACCTTTCCCCCCCTTTTGTTGCTCATGCTTCTGGTGTCATGTCTAAGAGTACTTTGCCAAATCCAAGGTCATGAAGATTCATTCCTAGACTTTCTTAAAAGATTTTCGTAGTTTTAACTCATACATTTAGGGCTATGCTCTATTTCGAGTTAATTTTCAAATATGTTGTAAGGTAGGGATCCAGCTTAATTCTTTTGCATATGGGTATCCAGTTGTCCAAGCACCGTTTGTTGGGAGAGGTCATTCTTTCCCCATTGAATGATTTTGGCACCCTTGTTGAAAATCAACTGGCCATAGACTATGTGTTTCTTTCTGGACTCTCAATTTTATTCCGTTGGTTTATATGTGTAGCCTTATGCCAGTAACACATTGTCTTGATTATTGTAGCTTTGTAGTAGTTTTGAAATCGGGAAGTATGAGTCCTCGTCCTGTGTTCTTTTCCAAGATTGTTTTGGTTATTTGAGGCCTCCTTTAATTCCATATGAATTTTAAGATCAGCGTGTCAGTTTCTGCAAATAAGGCAGCTGGGATATTGATTGAGATTTTATTAAATTTATAGATCAATTTGAAGAGTATATTCATCTTAACAAAATTAAATTAAATTAAGTCTCCTAATGCTTGAACATGGGATATTTTCCCATATATTTAGGTCTTTTAAAATTTCTTTTAACAATCTTTTTTAGTCTTCAGTTTGCAAGTCTTACACTTCTTTGGTTAAGTTATTTCTAAGTATTTTATTCTTTTTGATGCTATTGTGAATGGAGTTGTTTTCTTAATTTTATTTTCAGATTGTTCATTGCAAGCGCATAAAAATACAACAAAGGCTGTTTGTGGTGGATGTGATGGCTTCAAGTTTACTTCATGGAATTGGTGTGCTGGTCATGCAGGACCTCAGGGCCCACGGTCCCAATGGAGTCGCCACGGCATCTATGGCATCTGTACGTAGTGTTGCTACTGAGACAGGCAGGCAACTGGGCTGGAGAGGGAGGTCATGATGACTCCTGAAGGGGAGGGGCTGGACCTATAAACATGCTAGCCCCACAGGCAGCTTCAGGCACCAAAGAAGACCCTAATTTAGTCCCATCTATCACCAACAAGCAGATAGTGGGCTGCGTCTTTGAAGAGGACAGTGTTGCCTTCATCTTTTTCTGGCTGGACAAAGGCAAGATCCAGTGATACCCTAGCTTTGGAACCCATTACAAGCTGGTGCCCCACCAACTGGCCCACTGAGCCTTTGCCCTAACTTACTCAAAATGTCCTGTGAAGTTTCTTCCTTCCAGTAAAGACTGGCCATCGCATTGGCCCCTTCTCCTCCCTCCCCCTGCAAATACAATAGATTTTTAATTGATTTTATAATTTCCAATCCTGCCAAACTCGTTTACTAGTCCCAGTGGTATTTTTTAGGGTATTCCATATGATTTGGTCAAACAGTTTGTCTGCAACTGATCATGTGATCATGAGATGATCATATGCTTTTTGGTTTTGTGGTCTATTGATTATGATGTACTACATTAATTGATTTTTGGATGTTGAGTTAACCTTGCATTCCTGGTATAAATCCTACTTGATCATGGTGTATAATTTTTTTAAAGATTTTATTTCTTTATCTGACAGGGAGAGAGATCACAAGTAGGCAGAGAGGCAGGCAGAGAGAGAGGAGGAAGCAGGCTCCCCGCTGAGCAGCCCGATGTGGGGCTTGGTCCCAGGACCCTGGGATCATGACCCAAGCCCAAGGCAGAGGCTTTAACCCACTGAACCACCCAGGCGTCCCAAATGGTGTATAATTTTTAAAATATGTTTTTAGATTTGATTTACTAGTATTTTGTTGAAGATTTCTGCATCCAACTTCATACTATTTGATCTGTAGGTTTTTTTTAAATTATTTTTTATTGTGATGTCCTCGTCTGATTTTAGCCTCAGGGCAATATTGGCTTCATAACACGAGTTCAGAAGTGTTCCTTACTCTTCTGCTATTTGGAAGAGTTTGTGAAGAATTGGTTTTAATTCTTTTAAAATGTTTGCTAAACTTCAAGCCAGTTGGGCCTGGGGTTTATTTTGTGGGTAGCATTTTGATTACTAACTCAATCCCTTCACTTGTTATATGTCTACTCAGGTTGTCTCTTTCTTCGTCTTTTTAAAATTTAAAGTGTATTTTATTTCACCAAGTATATTCAAAACTATAATCAATTTTATAATCAGCTACCCAATTTATAAGCACTATAAATTATGAATGAGATGTTTTATATATCTTTGTACTAAATCTCAGATATTTGGTGTGTATTCTACACCTATAGCACATCTCAACTTGTACCAGCAGTGTCGCTTGTGGCTTGTGACAGTGCAGCCCAGAAAGGCCCCACCACCCAGATGCATCCTCCCCCTACAATTCCTTCTCAGGACCAGCTGGCTCATGACCCTGGCCGCTGTTTCTTGAGCCAGCTTCAGTAGTTTGTATCTTGGTAGGAATTTTTCCATTTCATCTAAGTTATCCAATTTCTTGGCATACACTTGTTTGTAGTATTCCTTTATGATCCTTCTAAATTTTGTAAGGTCAGTAGTAATGTCTCCTCTTTCATTTATGATTCTAGTAATTTGAGTCTTCTCTCTCTTTTTCTTGGTCAATCTAGCTAAAGTTTTGTCAATTTCCTTCATCTTTTCAAAGAACTAACTTTTCT